GGGGCCATTCAACTGGCCCACAACGACCAATCCACTTTCCAGGAAACTGTTCATCTAGGAATGCTCGGACCTGGCACCCATAATGTGGTGGTGCACCATCTTGCTGGAAAAACTCAGGGAACGTGCCAGCTTCAGTGCACAAAGAGGGAAACACATCATCATGTAGCAATTTCACATATCCAGTGGCCTTGAGGTTTCCATTGATGAAGAATGGACCCACTATCGTTGTACCCCATATACCACACCAAACCATCACTTTTGTTGTTCCAACAGTCTTGGAGGGATCCATCCAATGTGGGTTAGTGTCAGACCAATAGCGGTGGTTTTGTTTGTTAACACCATTCACATAAAAGTTTGTCTCATCACTGAACAAATCTTCTGTGTGAACTGAGGGTCCTGTTCCAATTTTTTTGCCCATTCTGCAAATTCTGTGGCCGATCTGGGTCGTCCTCGCTGAGATGCTGCAGTAGCTGGAGTTTGTAAGGGTGCCATTTGTGAGTAGCTAATATCCGCCCAAGGGATGTTGGACTAATGCCACTCTCCAGTGACATGCAGCGAGTGCTACGCTGTGGGCTCTTGCTGAATGAAGCTAGGACAGCCACTGATGTTTCTTCATTACTGACAGTTTTCTTGCGTCCACATTTTGGCAAATCCAACACTGAACCAGTTTCACCAAACTTAGCAAGCAGTTTGCTAACTGTAGCATGGGAGATGGGTGGTCTCGTACGTGTCTTGCATTGAAATCTGCTGCAATGACCCGGTTACTGCGTTCACCAGATATCAACATGATTTCGATCCGCTCCTCACGTGTTAACCTCTTCAACATGTCAATGGCTGTGAACAAAGAGAAACTTGTAAATAACTCATGAAAGAATAAAGTTATGTTGAAACCAAGCACACCATTGTTGTTCTTGTGACATTACCAATAAGTTTGATGTGTCACATGGTCCTCTTCCTAATGAAAAAACAAAAGTTGTATCCAAGATGGCCAACTTCTAAATGGCCACCATGGTCACCGCCCACCTTGAGGAGTTTGCCCCCTCACATATACTAATGTGCCACAAACAGGACTTTATATCACCAACCATTCCCTGTTATTACGCTGTATCCATATAAATGCCCACCCTGTAGAACAGCCAGAGTCCAGGTGCTGGCAGGCTATGCTAACGGGACCGTCCTTTCCCAACAGAATCCGGTTCACAGTGGTGAGCGAGCCTCCAGAGGAAGAGGAGCAGGAGAGGGAGTGTGAGGATGTGGGCGTGGCCTTCCTGAGGATCCCTGACATCCTGGAGAAACAGCGAGACGTGACGGAGGAGCGTTTGAGCGGTCAGCACGCACCGAAACGATAACCACCAACAACACGACCACAGCAGCCTTTAAAGTTCTTAAAAGCAGAGACGCAGGAAACAAATGCTTTTCCTAATGTTCACCATTTTAGCTGATCTAGATTACGACCTCCAAATAACAGTGTTTGCTCGAGCGGCTTTCTCGGTGGTCTAGACCATCCTGCAGCATTTGTCTTTCAGCAGCTGGCGAGTCTCTGCCTCTCTGGGTTAAATCTAGATGTCAGAATAGAAGCAGTCAGTCCCTCGTTCAGTATTTCCGTTTGTATTCCTGCACGTTGACATGATACGGTAGCATCGGTCCCTCCCAGATCCAGGACACATGCTATGGTAACAGTTTTTGGCGTTCTAGCCTCGTGGTTTCTCTCACCATCACAAACATGCTTGATTGTTGCAGACCTGCTGAGTCGAGGAAACCTCTGTGAAAGACGTTCTTAATTTTAATTAATGAATGAATTTTTTAGTGTTGTGAGGGGAATAGTTCCTCTTTGAAAACGTGCGTGTCTGAGCCCACAGTAGGTAACGTGGGTAAAACTGTGGGGCTGTGTGGCCAATCCACACTTATTCCATGCAGGCCCGACATGGGTCATCCCTGGATTACTGCTGCACTGATGATCGATGAGTTCAGGTCCTTCAGCACGAACCGGACAAGCGAAGTGCGACTGTGGCGACTCTCATCTGGACTCATTCAGATTGCACTCAGGCTGCGAGATATCCAAAGGCCGAGGAGAAAGCACGAGTCGTTTCGACATGAGCGCGTCTGCCGTCCGCAGGGGAAACTCGAGGCGTAGTTTTCATGTCAGCCGAGTGATGTTGACGAATTCCTCACTACATAAATGGCCGTCTGCTCAGCCGCGCCCGCTCAGTCCACGTACACGCGGGTGTGCTCGACCGTGACATCACCGTAACACAAACATGTTTACTTTGTCTCGTATTTCCGACCATGTCTGCCACTGATTTTCACACGGTCCTCCTCTCCCTGTGCTGCTGGGGTCTGTGTCACATCATGATAGCGATATCATCCACCCTGCACGTGTGTGTCTGTGTGTTTTTACTCCTGCAAACACAACGTGATTTGTGGAGTTTGTGTCTCCTGCTGTGACGACCGTGTGAACTCCAGGGAGCTCGCTCTCTTCACCGTGATGTAGTGATGTGTCGGTCGCGAACGAGACGCCTCTTACAGCCGACTCTTTGAAGTGAACAACGTGAGCCGGCTCCAATACACATGAAATAGACATGAAAGAGTGAGTAATACTTACCTGATGCAGTGTAAAATGATCCCAATACTGCAGCGAGGGCAGAGCAGTTACAAACAGCAGAATAAACAAATAACAAACTAAAACCGTCCGAGTCTGACAGACTGAAACCCAAAATCATTCCCTGAATAATCACAGTACACGTGTGTGTGTCTGTGTGTTTGCAGTGCTGGACGTGGAGGACAGCAGCGAGGTGGTCGGCACCCTGACGGTGTCCGTGGAGTGTCTGGAGGCTCTGCGCTCCATCATGGAGGAGGAGGAGACCGCCATCAGCTCGCTGTGAGAGGCGTCTCAAATGTGACGTCTCTGTTGTTTCAAAGCGGTGAATAAAGAGGACTGTGCTGAAGTCTGCTGTGAGCCTGTGAATATGATTCATTGTTTGCTCTTCTGCAGTTTCACTGTTTGTGAGCGAGAAACAAAGCGTGCCTTAAATTTTGTCCTTCCTGCACGAACGTTTCGATTCTGTACAAAGAGGATGTGTCTGCAGCTGTGGCTTAGAAAGACATAAATCATGTTTCTGACGTTAATGCATAAAATCAGCTGCGATGTCTCGGTGTGGGGAAAAGAATCACAATCATTGTTGAAGTCATATTTCAAGTTGGAGTGGGGTAGAAGAAGGATTATGGAAGGAGCACTTCATCGAAGAACCACAAACATACACAACAAAACACAGTATAACACAAATGATGCCTCGTGTCAGGCGAAGCATTGATAACATAACACATGCGCAACATAAGATTCATTTACCGTCATTACGTCAGCACACAAGATTCACATCCATCAGTTTTCACAGTGGGCAAAAAACTGTTGTTTTGATTTGTTTTCTTCTTGCTTTGATAAAAATCTTCTTCTGAGTCCTCTCGTCTGTCCGTGCTGAAACAACATTACACAAAGTGATGGGCTCCTCTGTAACAAGAATATTTCTAATAAATACAAGAATAAAGCAACTAAGATAATTTTTTTTCTCTTATGAGTCACATGTTTCACCCTTTTATCGTTGTTTTTTCATATTTTTCTTCATTCACACCGTCCTATAATTTTGATCTCATTTTACCTCCGTACGGTGACGTAAGAATGGGAAAAGCTGCACGTTCGGTGAATCTGTGTGTTGTGAGTAGAATAAAACAATGATTGGAACAGAATGTGCTTAAGTTTACTTAGATAACAGGGAGTGACTGTAATTTGGAAGAACGGGAAATGATTCATAAGTGTGTTTTTTAGGATGACTTTCTCAACCCCTGTTTACAGGACTATAGTGGACTTTGTTCAAACCAGTTGGTTTAGCTGTAAGT